CCTTTCCCAAAGGATTTTTTTAAAAGGAGAAGTTTGATAACTTAATATCAATTACATAAGTAAAGTATTATGAAGGTGTAGCTTGATTGAATTTATCAGCCTTCAAATTACCTAGCTTTGACTAGGAGTTTACAAAAATAGACACAATCAAAATTTAAGATGGTTTAATTAGTCCTTAAGTTTCATATGCAATTTAATAGGGATCATTAAACTCATCCCAGGAAAGAAAAAGAAAAAGAAAACTAGAATGTTTATACTAAAACAAAAGAATAATGTCATGCCTTTTTGATACTTTCTTGAAATATTTATTTTCATAGTACATATAATTTATATATTTAAAGTGGCCTTGATCTAGCAAATCTTTACTCATGAAAATAGATGTCACTGGATTCACTTGGACTAATCACATAAGGAGGAATTATTCATATGAGCAGAGCTTTGCAAGAAAATGATTCAAATGTTTTCATTAAGCAACAATGTTTTTTAAATATTTTATTCAAGGAAATAAATAATTAAACTGTTGCTCTTGAGTCCTGGGCAGAAATTAAATATTTATTTTACTCTAAAAAAGTTCACTTCCACTCCTTTCCCCTTGCCCCTTTCTCCCTCCCTCCAATATACCTCAGGTAATAATCTTTTATCTTTTCTTTGGGTACATTTACACATTACCCTATGGCAATGTAGTGACTCAGTATGTTGTGATCATGTGTGTCTACATGTGATTGCCAGCTACGTTGCTGTAGTGGTGTGCTCCCCAGGTACAGCATGCCAATATGGTGACATAGCAATGAAATTTACCCATGTGCCATGCATATGGCGCAGTAACCACCCATTCTGTGCTTCCTTTTAGAAGTACTGAAGCATGGCACCATAACCATGTCACCATATGGCGACATGTAGACACACCGTTTAGGAACTTACCTGAAGTTTTATAGTAACTTGCAAATGACAACTTCCATTGAACAGCTTTATGTAACTGTCAACATGTCTGTGTGCCATAAAAACTATAATTATATCTAGTTTGTTCTAGCTTTTCAACATGCATACAGGTAAAAGTTATATTTTTTTACTAACATTCATTTAAAAAATATTAACACTCACTGGGCATGTCTACACATGCATATTCATGTGATGCTTATCACACTGGAGTTTATTTCTTCTGGATGCACGTTTACACGTGCACCTGCAGAACATGGAGCTGGATCAGAGCAGCCCTGGCTGGTAGGAGGTTCAGGAGGCTGCTCCCCCCAGCTCAATGTGCTGTAGAAGAAATGGCTAGGGCACAAGGATGCTTCAGCATGGGGCTAGCCGGTAGGCAGCCCTTTGCCCTGAAGCACCCTTATGCCCCAGCCAACCAGGTCAGCATCTACACATGGACAGCTGTGGAGTTTTTTTTATTCTGCAGCAAGATAGTGCCTGTAAATTAGTTTACTCCAGCCTAATAGGGATGCATGTGTAGACAGCAAGACATTTACTGCACAGCTAATTAGTCTACTGCACAGTAAATGTCTCATGTAGACAAACCCACTGGGTGCGTCTACATGTCTATTAATGTGCTTTAATGCATACATTAAATCTAGTACCTCCACTGTGAGGTACTAGGAAAATGCACATTACCCTGTTGTAATGTGTATTAACTAAATAGCATGTTTTTAAAGTGACGCTTAATGCACATTAGCCTATTTTAATGCAGATTAACTAAATAGCATGATTTTTTTAAGTGCCCCTTTAATTCGCCTTAAAAGAGGCTAATGTGAATTAAAGCACATGTGTAGATGCGCCCAGTATTTTCCCCTAAGAGTTAAAGCTCTGAGTGTGTTCAATTCAATATGACAGATTCAAACAGATTAACTAAATAAGATCCTGGACTATTGTAGAGAATGCTTTTTATCTTGCCAGTAAGGGTTTTTTTTCAGAATCATGATTATCACTAGCCTTTAATGTTATAGTTTTAATGGTATTTTCACAGTTTGCCAAGATTTTTTAAAAATTTGTAATCATGATAGTGTATATGGGCTAAGATTTCAAAATAACAGTACAATTACTAAATTAGACATGGAATCATTCATACGTGATTTATTAATACCATAATAAATATCCATTGTTATTAAAAGTAAAACCCAGTGGTCTACTAATGCTTCAATATTTTAAAGTTTCACTTTTATATGGAAAAAAATCAGTTGCCTGACTCTTATATTTTGAATTAATATTCTAATATGGAAGTTACAAAATGTAAATATAATGGCATTTTTTAAGTGTGATGTCTTAAATGTATGAAATGGTTTATTTATGTTGAATGTATGTGCTACACGTTTTACTTTCAGACGCGAACAGCAGTGAAACAACATCTTCTTCAGAAGGTCAGATATATGGTTGACCTTAATCTCATTGTTGCTTTTTTGTATTTATTGTGGATTACATCTAACAAACGGAATCACTTCAACAACTCCCATATAAATCCATGTTTTAATAATAGATCACAGTTTACATCTTCACATCCTTTTTTTTAACTTACTCGGATCATTAAGGTTTACCATTTCAGCTACTGAATCACTCAAAGCTTTATTCATCAGTTTGAAGTTGCCATTATGAGTGATTTGACAATCATGATTTTTCCCCTTCTTTTGCAGGGTTTAAGTTTTCATTTGCTTGTACTAAAACAGATGATCTCCAGTGGTTTCTTTCTCTTTACACAGTTTTTAAAAATTGATATTTCTTTTCACAGATGAAGATGAAACCTCTTCTGTTAGTCCTCCACCAGCAGGTTAGGCTTATTATAATGCTTTTGTTTTAATTAATTAACTAATTAATTCATTCATTCATTAATGATTATTCATTCACTAGAAAAAATAAGGCCCAGTTCTGTAGTTTTCCACCAATGCAGAGAAAGATACACCTGTGTGTAGAGGACCAGTGTAAAGCTTTGATTCTACTATAGCCATTCTTCAAACCCATTTTGAAGGCTTATGTGACATTTCAGTATGTGTTGTGCATTCATATAAATGAATATGGAGTGCTTTTCTAGAGTTAAACCTAAAACAGATTTCAACATTACTATTAAGCCAAGTCCATTATGAATTTAAAAGACCATATTTTCTCACATATAATATACCCATTTGCCCCCAAAATCAGCCCTCCCAAAATTGGGGTATATGTATTAAGCTTATTTTCTGTCTGAGTTAGAAGCACGCTGCTTTGATGCCTGAGCCACAGTCTAGAAGCTGTGATATTATTCTTCAGGGAGCTGATGGAGTCCATAGACTTAATAGCTCTTGTTCTTCACTCCACAGGTGCTAACAATCATGTCTTCTTTTTAATGGTTTTGATGATTCATCAACCAAAATATCCGTTCTTAGCACAGTTTTGCTGTCTGCTAGTTGCTCCTGCTCTATTTCCTCTTACTTCATAATGCTGGAGAGTATTTAACTTTTTTCTGAATCACAGATCCACCCATGGACACCAGGCTTTAGCAGGAGCTTGGCTTTAGCTAAGCAGGAAGGGAAGGTGAGTCAGATGAAGATTAGGTTCTGTCCCTGCTCTATGTAACCAAAACTCTGGAAAACTCTTTTTTTCTTCATTCCACCTTTCAAAACCAAGGTGCACATTATATTCTAAGGTGTGCAGTTTGTGAGAAAATATGGTAGTTTTCTATGTACTATCTTACCTAGCCTGCTTGCTTGTGCTGCTGCCCCACTGAAGGCACGTGGTTTGAATTTTTCAGTGCAGGCCATCAGTCAACTGGCTGATAAAAGGCTATCTAGAGCAAAGGAGCATCTTATGATCCTGATGCCACCAGCTTTGGGAAGTCACCAAAAATGCATGCTCTCCACACCTGTGCCTTCCTTCCACATTACATCTTCATTTGTTACAAAAGGACCATAAACTATGAATGAACCAGGGTGTCATCTTCTTGACATTCAGTCCTCTCCCAGATCCCTGTATTCATACACTTCCCAATGATTAAGGCCCTATGTAGCGGCTGCATCTACATGTGACACTGACTCTGCAGTAGCGCATGACAACTGCACGGTAGCATCACGTGGCAGGAAGTGCGATGCAATGCTAATGTGCAGTAATCATGAGCTACTGCTCAGTCAGCATCACAACACAGCTGTTCCTTGAGTAACTCCAGTTACTGCAAAGTCATTTAGCATGTGTTTATACAAGTACTAACTGACTGCGCAGTAACAACTGCACAGTAAGCATCTCATGTAGACATGGCCAGTATTTATTTTTATTTTTATTCCAATCCTCCAACATGTGAAGAGGCAATATTTTTTTAAAAAAGCAATAATTTCTGAGGTCAAGCAGGTTCTAATCTCCAAACTGGTATCATCCAGATCACTCTTTCCTTTCAGATGGGACTACACAGCGGGGACAGAGAAAAGATTCAGGTGAGACTTCTTGATGGAAAAAAAAGAAAATGAAACATTCCAATCCTAGTATAATGCAATTTATCATTAATGAATTATTTCTTAAAGCTAATTTACCTTTAATTCTTATTACAGATTTTCATACAACACTCAACCATAATATTTTTTATTACTTTTAAACAAAGGAAATTGGTCGCTAGCTGCTGAATTGAGAGTGACAGAGGACTCCATCAGGCCAAGAGTGTGTGTGTGTATATTTGCTCGAGTACAATGTGCAAAAGGCTATTGCTTTACATGTGCCCTATGTCCAGCCCTTTGCTCAGGTGATGCCCTCCCTTCTTGCCCCCTTCTTGCAGCCAAAAGGGCAGGAAACTTTTAAGGAACCGTGACCTTTTTCTTCCCATTTAAGCAGATAAAGCCGCTCCCCTGTCTTTGCAGTTGCAGGGGTTGCAGTCTCTTAAAGGAAATGCTGAATTAGTACTTCAACCACTGATTTACCTGGAATAATTGCCCCCTGCCAGTCTTGATTCATACCAAACTTGTTTTCTGTTTGGAAATGATGGAAACACTGTTTATATGGAGCAGAGGGGTTAAGGTACAGAACTAATTAAGTGATTTTCTGTCTTAAAGTTGTTCTATAATGTTGTTTTTTCAGTATCATTCTGTGATTTTTTAGGATTACTGCTGTCTGCATGTTACGAATTGAAGTGTCAGACATTATTACATAATGTATTCACTCTAGTGACCATTTCCCATTTGTCTTTATGCACAACATATTTGTAGCTGTTTGTGTGTCTGCATGCAAGGAATAACATACAAAAAAAAGTAGTGGTACTAGATACTCCCACACCTAGAGTGCATCAAAAGACTGAAAACAACATTATTTTATATACTCTAGAAACAGTCATCTAGTATTTTTAGATCTCCTGAAATATTTTATAGCTTTTAATTAGATACAGCAATTCAATTACATTTTTCTGGCTGAGTAATGAACCATGATCAGTGAAGTTATTTGTTAGGTATTTGGGCAGTTTTTGTCAGACAGTAAAATTCCTTTAGTAATAATCCTTACAGAGTGTAAAGACTATACTGACACTTGACAAACAGTCTTTTACAACAGGTACTGTACATTCAGAAGAATATTTTATTTCCACAACAGGGCAAGATGGGACCAAAACTTGAGAGGCGCTGAACAAGCGAGACATAAGTGCTATTTTTTTTCCATTCAGCAACCTGTAGAAGGCATTTTTTTTCCTGGAGGAACCATGGAAAGGGGGATTCTGAGTCTGGCACAAAGGGGATTAGACACACACTATCCCTGCAGTTCTGCACAGTGTCATTTCAGCATGTCTATAGTAGTGCTAGCTTTACTGGTTGTGCTCATCTTCACCTCTGCAGCAGCCCACACTGGGGAGGGATAATGCTAGTATTTACTCCACAAGTTCTAACTCACAGTAAAAGACACATATTTTACCTTATCACCAGGAAGGGAGCATGTGGCTCAGATGTTTTCTTTTTTACTCTCCATGGGTTTCCATTGGAAGTCAGGTTTAATCCACACCCAGGGACTGTAGAAGGTCTCATGGAGGAAAAGTCTCTAGAAGCCCTGCACGTGCTTCCTTTCTGGTCATGGTGGCCCACTTTGACTCCAAATTCCCACTGACTTCAACAAGAAATGGAACCATGAAGGTGTGCCTGAAACATTTAGGTGTAGTTAGTTCTCCTTGAACTTCAACCAGTGCACAGGGCTAGCCTCGTTACATGCAGAGACTCAAACTCCCTTCTTCTGTCTCTGTAAGGAAAGATCAAAATGCAAAGGCATGCCTCTTCTTCCTTTGTTTTACAGGTGAACGAGAACAGTGGGGTTGTACCCACTGCCGAGTGATTGCAGGATTGAGAGAAACCTATACAAATTAAGCACTAAGTGGCGACTCCTGTCTTGCTTGTGAGCAAGCATGAAGTTAGACATGACACTTAGACTATCCTAAATCTCTGCAATGTTAAAAGGTGTTAAAAGTTAGAATGTGCTATGAACAGTCACACATTAAAAGTGAATACTGTCTCTTGTTTGCAGAGCTCTGACTTGCCATTCGAGGGCTAGTGAGCAGGGATGTGACTAGGAGGCAGGACACCTGAACTCTATCCCTGCTTTGGGGAAGGTGGGGGGACTGAAGGTGGTGCATCCTGGGTTGCTGGAGGATTGCAAATTGCATTTTTTATCTCTATGTAGCAGCCTGAAATTATTCTAACACAAACTAGGAAGCTCAATCCAGCATTAACCCTGAAGTGGTATAATTTTTTTTCAAACCTTCTACTTTATTACTGAGAAATATAGAACCACCCTTTCACATATTCAGCCACAACTGCTTTCTAGGCACATCTCTGGTGCAATGCAAGTTGTTCTCGGTATTTGTACCAGACGCTCCAGTCCACCCCCACAGCCAATGTTATCTCATTTTCCACCACAGAGGTGGTATTCCTGAAGGAGTTCTAGATAATATAACAGCCTCATCCCTGACAATGGGATGTCAATTACTTAGGTTATTGAGGAGGTCTGAAGAGAAGAGGCAATAAATTTACAGAGATTAATGAATTCAGGTAAGTGTTCTTTGGAGAGAATAAACCAGGCTGAAAAGTAATATTTCCCTTTTTTTTCTGCATACCAGTATGGTCTGAAGGAACTCCAGATGAAACAGAGAAGTGCGATGATTCTCAGAGATCCACATTATTTGTTGAAAAACCACAGGGTGGTACAGTAAGGGTTGGTAAGTGCCTAGAAAAAAAATTAAATGCTGGGTTTTAAGACACAAGTGAAATCTGCAAACATATGTGCAGTTTGCAGAACGTTCAGATTCTGCCTTCAGGTACATCTCTTTCCCATTGATTCCAGTAGGAGCTGTATGCTCCAATTTTAGGCCAAATGTAGCCTTCCTCTAAAGAAAATATTCAGTCAATTAATTCAAGGCACAGTTTAAATGGAATAATAATGTACAAACAGTGAATGTGGGTAGGTTTGATCTATTGGAGGACATAGGTGATCAATTGTGCTATTTATTCATGCACTGTCACTGACAGAACAGTTCTCATTACAAGCTTATTGTGTGGCAGGCCACGTTGCTGTCATGCTACCTCCCAAATTGAAAGCAGTGTAATGTCTCCATACAGTGCTGTAGATAAGTTAATTAGCTTGCTGTCGAGATTGGTGTAGCCTGGAGCTTGAGCTAGACTAATTCTGCTTTGTAGACTCAGAAGAGCAATGTGCTGCCATGACTATCTGGAATGCAGTATCCAGACTAGCTCAGCCAAAGCCCAGATGGGTATCTCTATACTACACTGAAGTCCTCCATTTAAACAACCCCTTTGTCTGAATGCATTTGACTCTCATGAGCCTGATACTGTTACCGAGAACCCCACAAAACTGTAATATGAGAATTTTTTTTTACATCATAGTCACATTTTTACTAACAACTGTATTATTTTTTTCTTTTTTCAAAGGGGGGAATATTACATTTGTAGCCAAAGTAGAAGCCAAAGATCTTCTTCGAAAGCCAAATGTTAAGTGGTTCAAAGGTAAATGGATGGATCTAGCCAGTAAAGCAGGAAAACACCTTCAGCTGAAGGAGACATTTGAACGTCTAAGCAAGGTACTTTTCTTTATTCTTTCTTTTTTTTTTGAATTCTTCCAGAGGGAAATCCCAAGCCTTGTAAAGCTATTTTTAACCATTTGTTCCTCTAAGGATGGAGGGTCTGATCATTAAGGCAGTAGATAGGGATTTGGGAGAACTGCATTCAGTACCTGGCTCTACCACATACTTCCCAAAGATGCTCTGTCCATTAATGACATGATGTATCATATTACCTTCCCTAGCATATAACAGGCTCTGAAGGAGCCAGAACTTGGAATATGGTCAACACAGCTAGGCCTCATTCTGATATGAGGCTAAGAGAGTAAGCCCTCAATTTAGTCCACAGTTTTTAACTTCTGACTTGTAGACATAGATCTCAAACTAAAAGACTTATTGTACCCTATGTTTGACTTTAAGATTTACACATTTGAGATGCAAATCATTCAAGCTAAGGAAAATTATGCTGGGAACTACCGATGTGAAGTAACATATAAGGATAAATTTGATAGCTGCACTTTTGATCTTGAAGTCCATGGTAAGATTCAACTTCTTTTCATTTAAACCTATTGATCCCCCAAAAAGTTATTGCTTGATCCTAAAATGTACAGTTGATTGCCTAATCCTGTAATTTCAGCTGCTAGACAAGACAGGTCTAGGCAACCTTCCTGAATACTCAGGACCAGCAGCGCTCTGCCAGCTAGTAGAATATTTGTTCCTCCCTAGCAAAACAAGCCTACCAAATTACCAAGGCCAGAATATTTGTTCATCAGTAAGGAAAGCAGGCCACAATTAAGGGCATGTTCAGGAGCTGACAGTCAATTAACCCAAAAAGCCTAGGAGTCTGTATGTATTCACTAGCATGCTAGCCCAGAAGCTAAACTATCTGCATCCATTACTTCACTGTAGATCAGTGTTGTTCCATTGGAGCGGCCCTGGTTCAGGTGCATCCCTGTGCCAGGAGCCAGCACAAGACCTATGATTGTATACAAGGTCATCATTTATTCTGTAAAATGCTTAGCAAGAATATGTAGGAGAGTTGAGGATGTGAGTTAGAGAGAAAGGGTTGTGTGTATGTGCATGCATGCATGTGTGTAGGTGGGGAGGGAATGTGAGAGAAACATCACACAATTCAGTCTTGTGCATGGGAATGGAGAATGTAGATTAGAGGAAAGTATTAAAAAACACCTACTTCAGCACTGAGCAGACTTGCACTGGGTAGCTTTTAGTGCTGGAAGAGCACATATGCTGCGTCCACTGAAAAGTGGAACTGAACTCATTTTAAACAAGAAAATCAAATATTTCTATTAACTTTTTTAAACTTTTTTTTTGCTTTCTTAGAATCTTCTCAGGCTGCTCCATCCCTTGACATCCGATCTGCTTTCAAAAGAAGGTAACTTTAATTTGTGATCCTATGAAGTTCCTCAATAAGTTATGAGCACACATTCATCCACCACTATCTCTGCTAGCCAAATGTATCAAGTGTTATTAATAGGTGGCATTATAAATAAAGATGACAGAAGTGGGATTTGAAGCAGTTGGATGTGGGTGGGATGAAGTAACCTTATATCATAGATATCATGTATAATAGTATAAACTTTAAAATGAGATTGAAGTGCAATTTCTAACAGGTCAAAAAGAAGCCAGTAAACGTATTTTATATATATATATTTATTTATTCAATAAAATATATTACCATATATTTCTTGAAAATTACCAGCTATGGCATAAAAGCTATTGTGGGTCCAGTCCTGCACTCATTGAAGCCAGTGGCAAAACTCCCATTGACTTAAATAAGATAGAAATTGGGCCCATGTTATCTCAGAATAGAAAAAAGCATGTCACAGATTCATCTTTACAATAACATTAAAATACACACATTTCAAACAACTTGGTTACAAAGCATTCAGTTCTAAATATTTTTTCCTAAATTATTTGTATTTGGGATTAAATAACCAGTAAAACCACTGATATGATGTGATCTTTATATTTCTCAAATCATCATTTTTCTTATAAAAAATGAATATAAATAATGGAATGAATTTTACACGCAGAAGACCAATGTTATTTTTTAAATTTAAGCAAATAAGCAAACTTCATAACTGTCACTAAGACGTAACTCTTTTTTATAAAAAATATGAGCTATAAAGGGCAAACGCGTGCTCAGAAAGATACTAATTTCAAGGTGCTTTCCTTTCTAGGGGTATATTTTTAAACATAGCACAATGGCTCAGCAGCAACAACACTGCAAACAGAAGAAGATATTTCTGAAAACTTTAAGAAAACCACTTTATGAAAAATTTAAAGTGAAACCCTGGCATCACTGAAAGAACTGCAGTTGACTTCAGTGGCTCCAGGATTTTACCTCTCATTTTACAAGGATCACCCCGACAACAGAGCATTTTCTTCTGTGTATAGATGTAATGAAGTTTCCTTCCTACAGAACACCTTCTACAAGGGAATGCATCTTTTAAAAAGGCTACAAGTCCTCTCTTAAGAGTACAAAATAGTATTTTTACCTGACTTCTTCCTCCACTGACACACACAGTATATAACACTGTGCTATCTGGTATTTGACATGGTATGCATTGTTAAATGCAGAATACACAACAATGCAAATCTTTGCTTTACGTTCATAGCAAAGATCAGCACAAGCCCTTTGTTTTTATATAAACATATTATTAGAACACAAAAACAAAGCCCTTTGTGTTGGCTGGCTTAAGTGCATTTGTGTTACTGAACTGTAACACAAATTTTGGCAAATTTATGTATGCAGCTACAAAAATTTGTCTGATAAGTATAACAACAAACAATACAAACCTTTTGTGTTATTTTCCACAGGTGCTTGTTATGGAAACATGGCTGTGTGGGAAAGAACATAAGTTTGTGTTGATTTTATACAATTACTTGTGTGGCTAGACAGTATTGCATATACAGTATATCTAGAGTGTTTGCAATGTGTGTTGTTTTAGTCTCTCTGTATTAAACAAAGATTTGATTTTTCTTTATTAATAACAGCGGTGAAGGACAAGACGATGCAGGAGAACTTGACTTTAGTGGTCTCCTGAAACGTAGGTGAGAACCAAGTGATGAAGTGAGCAGGTGTGGATTGGAAATCATTAAGTTCACACACAGAAAGAGTTAGGTTTAGCATTAATCATTTCTCAGGAATTTGATATTTTTACTTTCTTCTGGTATTTCTAACATTAATACTTAGAATAGAAAATGCAAACTTTGAGCTAACTATCATGTAAATGTAACTGGCAGGAAAGAAAGTTCTCAGATTTGTCAAATGTTTTAGGTTGTCGTAGGCTTTCTTGCTGGAAGAGACCCACAGTATTTAGTCTATAGACTATCTATTTTGTGTTTGCATGAGGTTTTTTTTTTCCTATGCAGGGATGAGCAGTTCAAAAAATTGAGTCTGGTGTGAACATAAGGAAATACAGGGGTGAAGTTAATCCTTTGGGTACATTTTCAGTTTACTTTATTAAGTATTTTTAGAGTAAAAACTGCACACAGTGGGTGCATCTACACGTGCACATTGACAGCACAGTAACCAAAATTACTGCACAGTACAAGCATGAGTCTACACGTGCATGCCTGTACTGTGCAGTAAATATGGCAAGTTATGCCAGCTTGAGAGTAAATTTGATATCTGCATCATGCAGGTATCAAATTTATGCCCAATTAGTTACTGCACAGTAACATGTGTAGACTAACTTTAGTCCCAAGTCACTCCATACACAGTGTTAATGAGGTTGACCACCTGCCCTTGTAGATGCTGACCTATTCCCGCTTACTGCACACTAAATTTAAGCTGGCATAAATGCATGTGTAGACACGCCCAGTGCTTACACATTCTAGGGACTGACATTGTTTCCATGTACTTTTCCTGTTCAGTGCATGCAAACCATGGAAGAGGATTTTAAGTTACATGAACAGTGGCTTTTCAGTTCTTTCCTTCTTTCTGGTTCAACTAGAAAATTCAGTACAATTATTATTTATTGTACACCAGTGGTGATCGACTTTTGGTTCCAGGGGCTAGATGAGTGGCACAGGGCTGGTCTGCAGGTTGGATCCTTTGCAGGGGTAGCACATAGGTTTTGGCCCCACATACCTGAATCAGGCACTGCATATCTGCACTAGGCCTTGTGCCAACTGTATCAGGCTTCACGCTGCCCTGGTTGGGCCCCACACCATCCCAAGCCCCTGTGCCTGGATCAGGCCCCATATGTTGGAGTCTGGCTCTGTACTGTCCCAGCCCTGCACATCAGACTTAGCATACAGGACCACACTATCTTGTCTGCTGGCTCCCCAGGGGTTTAAAAATTTGGCAGCAGGTAAGTGGCAAGTAACACTGCTGCCATTCCCCCACTGCCAAATTTCCAGACCTGTAGAGAGCCCAACAGGCAGCATGATACAACTCTGTGGGCAAAACTAGACTGAGGGCCATAGGTTGAGTACCCCTGGCCTACACTAATGATATGACTTTATGATATGACTTAAAAAACAAAGAACAGTTAGACATCTTTATGAGATGCTGAAAACATACCTAAAATTTGATACCGGCTTACAATCTTAGGGGAAAATTGCTTTCAGGTGGCTTGTGGTACAGCTTTGCAATTCTAGTATATAAGGAAGAGCTTATGTCCACCTGTTTGTTCCAGTACGAGAACACCTGGATAGAAGTGTTGGTATATTCAATTTCCCTTTATATGATGACAGCTAAATAACTATGCATCATTTTTTCAATAGTTCATTTAAGATCTGAGCACTATTAAGACAACTATACCCTATTGGAACTGTAAACCTTGGGACCTGTTTTGCCTATTGATACAATGGTACAACTTTCACTGAATTCAGTGGGAGCTGGGTATGCATTCCTGGAAGCAGAGCGGAATTCGGGCCTTCATCTCCACTATTGCTTACCCCTGACTGAGAAAAAAAAGTTGAGGTGCTTAAGTAGTGTGATAATAGAGACTGTATAAGCAATTTAGCTACTGAATTGTCTAAGTTGTTTCATATAAAGGAAAAAAAAAATGTGCTGGGACCAGAATATTGAACCAACCATCAATTTTATAGTAATAACTGAAAGCAAAAGAATTTTGAACAAATTCGTATCCACCAGGTCTCCATTTTTACTTTCTTCTCATCCCTAACTAGAATCTTCTATTTTAAAGATGTTCATTTATTTATCATACTAACCCAAGAATAATGTGACAGTTCTAATGACTTTCTGTGTGGGGTTTTTTATTACTAATATATGGAAGGCATGTGAAGAAGTTTCAGTGTTTCTGTGGTAATGTGAAACAGTATCTTTTATCATTCTACTGACATAAATACATTATTTTTTATGATAAAATGATATATCCATTGAAACATAGTATAACTGTTGTGTTTAATGGGCAAACCAAACTTTTCATTGAACCTGTTTTTAAATGTTGTAATTTAAAAAAGGTATATTGACTGTTTTGCCTCCCCCATTTAAATTGGTGAAATGCAATCTCACATTTATGAGTTTAACTGACTGAGAAGTATGATTGCTACTTAATTCCCAGTCAGATTTAACCAACCATTAGTACTAATAGGGCAATTAAACATACATGTTTCAGTATGTTTGGAAGCAGTATTCAGATATGTTCCTAGTCTGTTGGCTTGCTACAGTACTTAAGAAAACATGCTACATCTTTTTTACCAGTGGGTGTATAAGTACATTGTGTATATATATTTCACCCAAAGTCTAAAATGCCTAAAATCTGAATCTTGCCTGCTTTTTAGTTTTGTGCTGGTCTTATTTGGAAGACAAATGAGTTAGCTGTCTTAATGACATACTGTGTGACTGGGTATGTCTCATGACTGTCAATGTGTCAGTAATGCTGTGAAGTCCCAAAAGCGTAAGATCTCATAGGGTACGTCTACAGGTCACCGTATGGCAATGATGCTACTGCGTCGTAATTGCCATATTGTGCTGTGTGCACAGCACACAGTTAGATTTTGCCTCTACTTCGCCATAGAGGCACACTGAAACGGGGAAGCGTGCTGCTCCGGCAACGTCGCTGCTGGTCACGTGTAGTCCCACTTCACTCTACATTGCCATAGCAACACGCTACAGTTATACAGCAAGTTGCTACAGCAATATAGGGCAACATGTAGAGACACCCATAGAAACCCAAACATTACAGCTTAAAAAAAACTTTTTTCAACACAATGCACATCTTTGAAAAAAAATGAGATGAGATTTTGTGGCCCAAATGATTTACAGCAAGCCTATCAAGAAAATTATAAATATTGTTTGCCCACTATCCACAGGTACAAATATTACAGTCTTGGAACAAAGTTTGTTTGCTCAGTGTCAAAATGTTCTCCATTTATGCAAGGGGAATAGAAAGACTGTTTTAAACAGCTGAGAACAGGACATGCAGATCCTCTTTCTCAACCGGAGCCTGATTTAAAGGGCAGACATTACCATCTTTACATGGATGTTTTTGTGCAACTCTCATTAGTGCTAATAGGAGTTGCACGGTTAATGTCTTAAACACATTGAGATAAGAATTTTGCCCCGCCGTGTGTCTTAGCTTTTACATTTGTTTGTAAGCTGGTTCTAACCTGACTACATGCAGGAAAACTCTTACCAAAACATCACTTTATGCAGTAAGTAGTGAGTGTCCAAAAATTGTAAGCACAAAGCAAAAATGAGATATAAAACATAGAATGATATTCTTTATATTATGCTTAAGCATAATGTTAAACTACATGTGCTGAAAATATTTCAAAACATTGTCAGTGGTAGGCCATTTAAAATAACACTACCATACAAGAAATGCTTGTAAACTGCATACATTATACCATATACTATATTGCTGTCCCATAATCACTGATCCAATGCTATTACAGATCTCAGCTATCCCAACACTTCTGTATACATTACAAGAAAGATAACATTTGATGGCTCTTGGTCCAATATTCTACTCACCGTATATACATAGAAGACTGCCAGGATTTTCTTTTATTTTTTCATCCTTATTATTTTCTTCTTCTGCTGCCCAATTTTTTTATTCCACCAGAACCAATCAGACTTAAGAAGAACGACCTTTCCCTCAGCTACCATTCTTCTAGGAAAGAAGGTTAAGACATTTATCCTCACTGCTCTAAGTTCTCAACTACATTAGCAGCTCTCTTTTGTTAGATCATTGGTGAATCTCACTTACTAAAATAACCATTTTATTCAGGCTGACCCTTGCATTTAATGTCTATCAGTTCTAAAAATTGAGTTGTCTTTTCATCAGCCAACTATCTTGGCTCTAAGATAGGAGCTGAATACAATTAACTGTAATGTGAAATCTAACAAACTTGAACAAACAGAACTCTAGAGATATAAAAAATGCTTCCCATTCCTAAAATTGGGGTAAGTATTACAACCAACAGATTTATGTCACAGGACCAGGTCAAGGTGGCAACCCATAACTCTTGGCCTCATACCAAATTTACGCTTTATTCCTGCAATATGGGAAGTACAGCTGTACTCTTAAGCCTGCACAAATTTCTGTGGACTCTCTTGAGTTTTAACATAGGTCAGATCCAATTGCAGGAGCAGAGTCTGCATTCACAGAATCATGGTCTTTTTTTACGATAATTATGGACTCTTGAGCTTAGGCTTTGATCTTAGTTAAGTCCTTGTGAATCAGACTCCAACAAAATCAGTAAAGTTAGACCTGTTTAAATGGGTTCAAAATTAGCCCTTATGTTTCTGAAATATTTTTAATGGATGTTTTTCATGAAGAAATGTAAAAACTCCCACAAAGTACAGCCACTTCTTTGTTGCCCTTACTAAAGCCCAAGACCCAAACTCTTCCTACACTTTTGAGAAGTTAGAATTTCTGCTCAGTCTAGAAAGGGCCAAACTGCATTCCTGGATTTGATTTCCCTGAAGAAGTGTGAATTCAGAGTAGACCTTGGTTGCTCAGACCCATTCTTAAATTAAATCAAATTTTAATTTAAATCTACAAACTTGGCCAAAATCTTTCTAGCATAACCTTGCACTTTAATGTCCCTCTGGTCCCTTATTTCTAATTCAGTGACGTCTCACTAAATATGCTACAACATTTTTTTTTTTTGCTACTGTTAGGGAGATTAAACAAGAGGAAGAGCCTGAGATAGATGTGTGGGAACTCCTGAAGAATGCCAATCCCAATGAGTATGAGAAGATTGCATTTCAGTATGGTATCACTGATCTGAGAGGCATGCTAAAACGTCTGAAGCGCATGAAGAGGGAAGTGAAGAAGAGTGCAGGTATGAGGAAGGCAGAGTATTCTTACATCTAATGGTCAAACAGTTGTTGTCATCTCAAGAGAAAGAATATGACTGAAGTACCATGAAATATACAGGGACAAAAACTACCTTGATTTTGTGCAGAGGTACTGAAAGAGAGTAAGTAGGGGCAGATTTTGCTTCATGTAAATCTGTGCCCTGTTCAGTATTTATAAAAAAATCTCTGTTTCAGTTGGCTAACTTGCAGTTCTTATTTCAGCAAGACTGGCACTGATTTCAAAGGGAGTGTTGCCTGATTAAGGACTGTAGCATGTGGAGACCATGCTATTAAACCTATTAAGGCATGTTATAAAAACAAGAATTTTAAAGTTACATGCAGGTTCACTGTAACCCCTGTGGATGCCAGTACATTCAGTTTTGTTCAGGGTAGGCTTATTCAGACTGTTTTTCCCTAGCTAGGTTGGTTGTACCAGGCTCTAGCCCCTGACATTAGTATCCAGGGAATATAAATAATCTGCACTTAACCCACTTTACCCATACCAGATTCCCCAGGTCCAGAAAACCCAGAAGCTATGTATATTTATTTATTTAACCCTGCCAATTGCAACTAGAATCAAAATACATAGCTTGTTGCTGTCTCATTTGGAAAATTAAAATTACTTGCAGTCATTTGGACAGTCAGAAGTCCATCATTTTTTCTTTGCTGTTAAAACCTCTCCCACCACACCGCAATGTCACTTTTCAGTTCCAACAAACTCCAATAGTGTAGAAAAATTCAGTCTCTCTCTTCTATTTACCTTCCCATTAAACAAGAAAAAGAGAGACATTCAAAATAAGTGAAAAGCAACAAAATTAAAGACAAAGGGAAAGGAAGTATTTTGCATTTTTTAATTAAACAAAGCCTTTAAGGAACCTTGTCCAAATGATATTGTTGGGACAAAGAAATTGATAATTCAAAAGAGATGATTCATAAAAAGATTAGGCATGTAGTTGAGTAATAGAATAGCTAAACTTGCTCTGAGTTAGGAGAAAACATGCACATAGAAGAGCAAACTTTGTTAGAAATAAGACCATTATCAACTGCTTTGGGTTACGGAGAAATTACCAATGTCTCCATTGCCATAGGCATGTAATTGCACAATTGATTGTTTATAGGAATTTAATGTGAGCCAACATGGCTGTTCCTCTCTTCCTGTGGAAATCTCTTAAGGGCTAGAACAGGGAGGAGCAGTATCTTCCCCCGGCTTCACTATAAACTGAGGTTGGCTGCACAGTAGTTAGGAACATATAGAAATAGAATTGCAAGGAGATGTCTACAAGTGATACTTAGGAGTGACCCTGGGGGTCACTCTCATCTGGCCTAAGACACATTAGCCTACCCTATCCATCTATATTATCTTGTTACGGCTACACATCAAGCACAGAAGCAAAGACAAATAGTGGGCAGACTGATTCCTTGAAGAGCTCCACTTGAGGAATAGAGAGTTGTCTTGGGCAGAGCCTTTCTAGGAATCAGTCTGCCCACTGGTTGTCTGTGCTTCCTTACTTCACTCTAATTGTAGGTAATGGAAGCAGGAAGTGGGACACACAAGGGTAAGAAGATGGTAGAAAGCCGTGGGACTGCTGGGCGTGCATTTCCTTCTTTGTGGAAGTTTTGAGTGCAGTTTAGACAAACACTTGGCTGTGGTGGTTTGGACAGGGACTCTGTCCTGAGCAGGGAGTTGTATCAGATGACCTTCTCTGGTCTCTTCCAGCCTTATTTTTCTATGATTCAGATAAGATTGTATGGCTGGGTGAGTTCTGATAAGATAAGCCCAGGGTTGACCTTTGGCTTTGAACTGAGGAAAACCTTTGGGGGCAGTCTGGATTGCCGTTGGCAAACAAGCTAAGAGTCTTTTAATGCAGATAATTGGTGGCCTTGAGCTAAAGGGGAGGCTACAGGATAGCCAAAGAAATAGAAATATAGACATACCCTAAGGAACCTCCTGGGTCACTGAATCCTGTCACCTGCTAGCAGAGGCAACCGTATCATTAATCCCTTTGCTAAATTGATAAAGTAGAGATGGGCAATTAGTTGTGAGAACAGTGCATTTACTTTTCAATCTACTATGTATATGCTCTCTTGGGCCTTTCTTTTGTGTTTAAAAAAAAGTGAAAACTCAAAGTGAAACTCTTGAAATCCCCAAGTTTTACTTGGGTTTAGGTTTAAATTAAGTGAACCATAAATTTCACATGATCTCTGCAAAAAGTCACCCCAGGGTTATAGCTGAGTTTTCACTTCAGCAGTCTTACATACCTTAATACCTCTTTTTGACAAACCTCATTGGCATTTTGAGCTTATACTGGGATCTGAAACTTGGCTAATTTTGCCTGACATCATATTTTTACAAATGTTTTGCAAATACAGTTCTAATTACAAATGGAATGCCACTTTGCATATTCCAATCTAATGAAACAATTTGGGATATCATTAACTTTTAGCTAAATCACAGAGCAGCTACTCAGGCAACTGGATATTCATTAGGAATTTTACCTTGGTAAGGGTTTCCTAGTTGGCAAACCCAGAAGTAACAGTAATAAAGAGTTTCACTGCAAGTGATTTGATTATAATACCTATAGTATATTAATACTTTTTTGTCTGAAGTAATAATGGGTTTTTTACAATGTTTGTTCAGTTTTGCTTTGTGGAGATAACATTCACATTCTCATTTCTTTCTCATCATCCTTTTTTCTTTCTTTCTTCCTTTCTTTCTTTTTTAATACCACCACTACCCCATAACAGCTTTTGCCAAAGTTCTAGATCCCGCATATCAAGTGGACAAAGGGGGTAGAGTAAGGTTTGTTGTGGAGCTGGCAGATCCGACAGTGGAGCTGAAGTGGTATAAAAATGGCCAAGAAATCCGACCAAGTACAAAGTAAGTGATTTTACTGAATATGAATAGTGATAAAAACCCTCCTCTCCTATACTCTCCATGAAGCAAAATACCATTTGTTCCCTTGAGAAGGGGTTTGTTTTTGTTTGTCTCTCTCTTTGAACAAGTTTACACCAATTTTCTTTCCAGACATTTTATTATATTGAAACCAGAAACAAGTTATACACATACTAATGGTAATATTAATTTATATTTTTAAAAGAAAAAATCACATTATAATATGGATTAATTTAGAATGTGCTCTGGACCCCCCAGCACAGAGAGGTAAATAAAATACACCAGTATAAAAGTGAATTTACCTCGCATATAACTAATTTTGGTATAAAAAGGGTTATCACATAAGAGCAAATTCGCACATACAGAACCCACATATAGTGAGGGAAACCTGTAGTTTGGTTAAAAGGAAAAAAAAATTCTTCATTTTGCCTTTCCAAAATAAGATGCATGTTTTATTCGGAGGTATGTGGCATGTGAATAAATATGGTACTATTAGCTCTGCCCTGGTCTGAAAATGAGCTAGTTTTTTCTAGTCCTGTACAAGCAGAAAACCAGAATCTCTCCATAGCAGAATCATCAGAAATACAATTGTCTCTACCTACTTGGTCCCATTGCTTTGTATATTAGCTCATTCATTGTGCCCCTAAAAGAGCATGGAGCTGTGGGTGGCAAGGAAGGGAGGAAAGGAGTGTTTTATCCATTTAATGTTCATATTTAGATCAACTACATTCATTAACCAACAGGAGTACTGTCATAGTGCTCCTGCTCTAAAGAATACCAAAGTGCACTTGGCAGATTAAAATCCTTGCACCATGGCACTGCTTGACTTGCCATGCAGATGGTGGCAAGCCAGCCTGCTACTAGAGGATTCAGTGGGCATGTCTACATGAGATGCTGTCGCTGTAGCAATGTAGCTCGTCACTATAGTGACATAGCATCGGCAGGCACAAACCATGACACACTGCCACTACTGCACAGTAGCAATGAGCTACTGCACAGTAGTTTGTTGCTACTGCACAGTAGGGTCGGAAACA